ATGAATTCCTTTTTGGATATGTGCATAGTAATGAATTCCTTTTTGGATATGTGCATAGTAATGAATTCCTTTTTGGATATGTGCATAGTAATGAATTCCTTTTTGGATATGTGCATAGTAATGAATTCCTTTTTGGATATGTGCATAATTTAATGACGACTGCTTATAAATATTCAAATAAGAGCGTGACGTTTTTACGTGCTGGAGAACTGGGATGAACTGTGAACAAACTGGCAATGGCAGAGGAGGTTTTGAGGCAAATTGAAAGACAATGTTATGCCATTGAAAGGGCGTACCACAATGGCATTTGTGGTCAACGACATCTACATGCCATAGAGGCATGTCTCAGAAATCTATCAAGAGTTGCCAGTCTGTTAAGAACAGAGACAGCTAATGAACTTAAAGACTCGCTCATCGACCTAAGGAGGAATTTGCTGGCGCAAAATGTAGAGCAAGACCAGACCTACTCTGCTGGGCGTGTATATTCAGGTGAGTAAAAGTGTTGTTCTCTCTAGTTATTAAAATGTGCGATCTGTTAATTGAGAACATTTACATGGAGCCCGAACCTAACCCGCTAAATTGCACGTTAAGCGTTTTATTCACATAGAAAGAAAACGCCTAATTAATGGACTAAGACAGCGATAAAGGCCGAATACAATTTATCATTAAATTGTACTAAATACAGGAAAGCAGGTAGGCCCAGAATATGAACAGAAAGCGCAGATTGGATGTTAGGCTGAAGTCTTTTCCTCCCAGAAAACGCGGCTGAATGAAGACGGTGATAAAAAAGACCAAATATGCTATAGAAATCTGTAAGAGCCAGGTATAGTTCTATTATTTTGTACACATTTTTTGTGTTAATGGCGGCACCTGATGGTGGCGGAAGTAGTAAGAATTTAGCTGTTCACCTGTGTGTTTGGGTAAGCGGGGGTGACGGAGGAAGTCTTATTTTTTGCTGAACGCTAAAGAGCCTTTTACGCTGTTTAATGCCGTTTATCATGACTTTTGGACACCATTTCGTATGTCAGTGAAACAATTATGGAATGTATTGGACGCACAACCTTGTTTGTTTCTTATGCAAATAAATCTACAAAACGCAATCTTGGGAGCCGTGATCATTTATCAGCAAGCGCGTCAGACAAGTTAGTTTCCTCTATTCAGCCTCTCGGCGGCCAAATTTATGGTCTTAAGATAGTCGCCTAATAAAATCAATGAAAAATATAGCCTACTCTGTGTACATGCAAGCAGATGAGCCCAGAATAGAATTACATGATAAGCGTTTTCTTCCCCATAGAAAACCGCACTTAACATGGCTTAATATAAAAAGACCGAGATATAAAAAGCCCACATTTTATATTTTATTAAAAATATTGTGTACAGGCAAGCAACGCGGTAATATATTAAGCCACGTTAAGAGTTTATAATGTTTTTCTGGGGGGGGGCAACGTTCATATTCCGGGCTCGTCTGCTTTCCTGTGCGTAATATTTAGTTGTTAAACAGTACCATATTTGGTATTTTTATATTACCGTCTTACTTCATTAGCCTACCTTAAGCGTTTTCTATAACTGTTTTCTATGGGGGAGAAAAAGCTTAACGTGCATTGCAAATTGTTGACAGAGAACATCTAACGACATAAGGCACATCCACAATAAATGATAATAATAATAAACATAAATAATAATTACACTCACAACAATAATAGCAAGGGAATGAAAAAAAAACACAAGGAGCAAGAAGTACATAAAGACAACCGAGAAGAATACACTAAAATAACAAATATTTTGAGATCGAGAAACCGAGAGATGAATTCATTTTTTTTTTTTTTAATACTTGAAGCTCTGAAACATTTTAACAAACTTACAAATAAATAGGCTATATTACTATATTATATTTTGCCATTTGCTATTAAATTCATTATGGTGTTTTCAGTATTTATTTATTTATTTATTTTTTAACCTGATCTCTGAGCACTTTTACATTGTAGACATTTTTAACAATGCGTATAACTAGGGTTGCAAAATGGCGGAAAAGTTCCAAACACTTTCCATGGGAAGTACTGGGGAGTTTTGGAAATATCTCCAGTTGGAAACTAAACGGGAATTAAAAGGAATTAATTGGACAATTTGTTCAAATAGTATCGTACACAAACATAGATAAAAACATTTTGTTTGGTTATAAGCTGACATGCATGGAAAAAAAGAAGACATTTTTGACTTTCATGACATGGAGGATGCACAGTGTGTGCAGGGCGTGTGGCCTCAATAGCCCTGCAGTAAGTAGTGTGTTATGTTCATGCTGCACAAATTTTTTACAACTACAATGAAGTGTACTTACAGGCTAACCTACAAATTTGCAAATTTCCAGTTTCACCCATCGCTAATCCATTCATTGACAGCAGTGTCTGTTAATTGTTGTTCAATTGTTCTTTGTTTCCTTGTGTCCTCTAGGTATATGTGGAAGACCTTCCATTAATGTTTCAAAGCAGCAAATAGAGTTTCTAATGAAACAAGGACACACCGTTAAGCAGATGGCCAAGATTCTGGGTTGCTCATCTTCATTTATTTATAGGAAAACTAAACTGCTCGGAATTCCTATACGAAAACTGCAAACACAAGTGACTGAGGAAGAACTCACACAGCATGTCAGAAGACTTCACAGTCTCTATCCCAACACAGGAAGTGAGGTGTGTTAGGCAAAGGAAAGTCTAATTCATTATTCTGCATCCATACTGTCAAAATAATGTTTTTAATATTATTTCTTAGATCATGAGGGGACTGCTACGTGCAGAAGGGCTGTTTGTCCAGCGACGTAGGGTCCGAGAAGCCCTCACCCAAATCGATCCAACTGCAGCTGCACGCAGATGGAGTAGTGCCATCGCCAGAAGAGTCTACCATGTTCCTCATCCAAACAGTTTATGGCACATAGACGGAAATATGCGTTTGATTAGGTAATACACTATTCATCCCCACCACAATAGAGTGCGGGAACTATGATGTCAGAACCAGAAATTGTAATTTGCCTCGGGTTCCTTCGAGATTTTCCTATTGGGTTTTATAATGGGGTTTTTCAATTTATGAATAAAATAAAGCCTGTGGTAAACATAACTTGACGATACTTCTACGTTTTGTTCTACAATATAAACTGCACACACTCACAGCCTAAACCTTCTTATCTAGCTACTTACTAAAAACGTACGTTTTCAAAAATGAACATAACTGCTTCAAAATTTGTATTTTGGGTATGGATGTGTGTAATTTATGATGTACAACAAAACGTAAAAGTATCGTCAAGTTATGTTTACCACGGGCTTTATTTTAATTGAAAAACCCCATTATAAAACCCCATAGGAAAATCTAGAAGGAACCCACGGTGAATTACTCTTCAGGGTTCTGACGTTATAGTTCCCCCACTCTATTGGCAGTAAATATAAATGTCTACTTTTAGTCTCTAAAGTTAAAGTTTTACCCTCTGTGCTTATTCCAGGAGGAATTGGGCGAGCCAGACATCACTGACAAACACCTCTCCTTCTGACCATGAAACCACTACAAGTCCTGCAAGCACTGCAGTTGTGATGAGATGATCTTCCAGTGTTTGACATTCAGAAATGCACAGTTCATGCGGTTTAAAAAAGGCTGAATAAAAAATCCTCAATTGTATAGCCACAGTTTTTTTTTTTTTTTTTTTTCATAAGAGTTTTTTTAGTTAGTATTTGTATTTAATAAAGCACTACTGAATTAAAATAATTGGTAAATGAAAAACATTACGTATGATAAACAATAACCAAGTACACTGCACTTAAACATTAAGCAAAAACAAATTTAAGCTTTTTAGTTTGACTTGTTATTTATAATTAATGTTAACTTAAAAAATTTGAGTTGCTTGATTAAATTTGAGGTAATCGGTGTCCACGAAAATGGAATATTCTGAACTTATCGGGTTTTACAGTGTGTGGCGACGTGACGTCTCCGTTCCCTCCTTCAGGGAACGAGGGTTACACATGTAACCGAGACGTCCCCTTTCAGTTGGTCATGCTCGACATCACGTCGGGACCGACAAATGGGAATCCCTACCAACACGCCACAGGTGCTGCCCCCTCCAGTGCCCTGTGTAGGCCTCCTGAACCTTCCTATAAGGCAGACGATAGGACCGGGCTCTACACTGAGAAGGTCGACTACTGCTGTTCCTCGAGCACCCCAAACAGTAGGACTTGGATAACTCTGAGAAAGCGTGCCCTTCCTACTTGGAAGAGGCACGCTGCGGAGTCACCTCCTCCCAGAGGGGGTTGAGTGACATTTACTCATGTGGAGTAACCCAAAAGGGTCCTATTGCACATTGAATTCTCTGAGATGGCTCAGGCTGCATCATCTAGAGACGGCAGAGCGTAGCCTGCCAGGGGAAACACGGCCCTCATAACTGTACCGTGGAAATACACATATGGGATCCCGACAGGGTCACTCATATGGGCACTAGCCTCACACCAGATTTCAGGAATTTATTGGATGAAAGGCCGGGCATTGTATGCTCCGCCATGTCCGGCCACTGGAGTGCTGGAGGACTCAACAGAGTTTTGTCTGGTTAGGGAACTCTCTGGAGAACTAGGCGTTATGGACACCACAAGCCGACTCTGACCCAGGCCTCTCAGTGCCACTACCCGTTTGAGGTGAGAACACAGGAGGAAACTGTTTCGACACGTAGGCTATAGAACCTAGCGAACGTGTTAGGAGTAACCCAGTCCGCAGCTCTACAAATATCTGCTAGCGAGGCACCACGAACCAGCGCCCAGGACGATGCGACACCCCTAGTGGAGTGAGTATGCAGCCTGAGCGGGCAGGGCACACCTTGTGCCTCATAGGCCAAGGTGATGGCATCCACTATCCAGTGGACCATCCTTTGCTTGGAGACAGCTTTCCCCTTCTGCTGTCCTCCGTAACAGACAAAGAGCTGCTCTGAGGTCCTAAAGCTTGGAGTTCTATCCACGTACTATCGCAGTGCGCGTACAGGACAGAGCAAAGCTAGGGCTGGGTCTGCCTCCTCCAGGGGCAGCGCTTGCAGGTTGACCACCTGGTCCCTGAAGGGAGTGGTAGGAACCTTGGGCATGTAGCCAGGCCGGGGTCTCAGTGTTGCACTGGAGTCAGCCGGCCCAAACTCAAGGCACGATTCGTCGACCGAAAATGTCAGCAGGTCCCCCACCCTTTTGATCGAGGCCAATGCAGTCAGGAGTAGGGTTTTCATGGAGAGAATCTTCAACTCGACTGACTCCAAAGGCTCAAAGGGAGCAGTTTGTCACCAATGCTAAATCCCAAGAGGGCAGGGAGAGGGGCTTAGGAGGATTTAACCTTCTGGCCCCACTAAGGAACCTGACGACCAGGTCGTGCGAGTATGAGCCAGTTGTTGAGATAGTTGAGGATGTGAACACCCTGTTCTCTCAAGGGAACAAGGGCCGCCTCGGCAACTTTGGTGAAAACACGGGGCGACAGGGACAGCCCGAAGGGCAGGACCTTGTACTGATATGCCCGACCCTTGAAGGCGAAACGCAGGAATGGCCTGTGTCGCAGGAGGATCGAGACATGAAAGTAACCGTCCTTCAGGTCGATCGCTACAAACCAGTCTTTGGGACGGATGCACTCGAAAATGCATTTCTGCATCAACATTTTGAACAGCAGCTTGTGAAGCGCGTGATTCAAAACTCGCAGGTCCAAGATTGGTTGTAACCCACCGCTCTTCTTGGGCACGATGAAGTAAGGGCTGTAAAACCCCGTCCTCATATAGGCTGGAGGGAGCGGCTCTATCGCGCCCTTCGCCAGCAGGACTGCAATTTCCGCACGCAATACAGGGGCAGCTTTCGACAGCTTTTACTGATGTGAACCGGATGCCCCTGAACTTGGGGGGACGCCGGGTAAATTGAATCACGTAGCCGAGCCTGATGGTCCGCAGGAGCCACCGAGACAGACTGGGGAGCACTAACCAGGCTCCGTGAGACCGTGCCAGTGGAACCAACGGAGCCACTGACGTACCCGCGGTAGGGCAGCGCGGTGGAACACAGGGACCTGGCCCGGGGCCTGTGATGGCCACGCCTGTGACGGCAGAGGGCAGGGTCTGGGTGTGAAGTGTAACACTCACCTGATCCCTCCTCGCAAGAGGGGGGGAACGCAGGGCCCCGACTTGAGGCGTGTGACCGCATGAAGCGGGGTCTTGAGTGTCACAGCACCTACCTGGTTCCACGAATGGGCAGAGGGAGTGTTCTTGGGCAACCCACTGCTGCCCGATGGCGAAAGAGGAGGAGGGAAGTGATCCTGTGATGCACAGTCCACCACTCTCCTCCTCTTGGGGCCCAGAGACTGAGGAAACTGCTCTTTTTCTGAAGTTTTGGGTACAGCTGGCTGCTGGGCCAGCGGCGGAACACAAACAAAACGAAACAAAAGATTCTCCCCCCGGCCCTCCTCCGGGGGAGGGAGTGGTGCGGTCACCATCTCCCGATGGGCAGTCCCCTCCATCTCCGGGTCGCCCATCTCAGGGCCTCTTGCACTTGCGCTCACCGCCCGGTCTGGCGGGGGCCTGGACGGGCTGCGCGTCCTGCCTGCGACCGGCTCCACAACGCTGCCTGGTGGAAGGCTGCTGCGTGGGAGCGGGGGCAGCTGCAGGGGGGCGCCCACAGCGAGGAGCAGGCTAAGGGGCTGCAGCCGGGACTGGAGC